AACAGAGTACATAGTCATGCAAAAAGCAATATGGATTTCTAGAGAAAACTGACAGCACTTAAGAAAAAGGTACTTCTAAGGTAGGAGTTACATTTGCCACAAAGAAACAGAATAATTTTCAGAAGCTAAATAATAAGTTAAAAGTCAATTCTCTTGTTGGATCACTAAATCTTTGACGCTGTGTGCACCTCCCTGGGTCCTCCATCATTTGATTTATTTTATAAGGACAATGAGCCCCTTCCTTTCATGAAAGTCTGGCATACAGTGTATATCTAATTGATTATTATTGATTGATTCAATGAATAAAAACAATTTCTTGGGTTGAGAAACTATTAAGTACTAACCTTTCACACATATTGCTTCCAATTCAAACAAGGAGAGTCTTATACCAATTTTTCATATAGAGAGACTGAGACTTACATTACAATATGCCAGAAATTATAGCACTATTGCAGAGCAAAGCTGGGATTTGGTTAGAGCATGTTTCTTCCCTAAGGTTTCTATGCTTTCCCCACCAGAAACAGAAGGCCCAGGCAGCAAAAGATCTGTAATAGGGGAAGCATTGTTCTCTCTATGAGGATCGTGTGTCAGATCTTCAGGTTGTTGGCTCTCCCACAGACATTTCTTCCATGACTATATTTCTGTTCTTTCCCCATTTCTCAGTAATGCAACAGTGACTGCATATCCCTTTGGAGGTAGGTGGATCTATTTCCAAAGCTCTACCTGCTGGGAGACATCCACTACCTTCTCATGCTGCTTCTGTCGATCATCTGGTGAGCACATCAGGATGGGCACAGAAGGGACAGTTGTGACAGTCTTGGGCTCCTGGGGAGCCTGGCAGAGGCTTACCCTGCCTACAGACACTCCAATTTAGTAGCAATCATTGGACATTTTTACCCTAATAAATTTTAAAATAAAGAAGTTTGCATCATTTATTTTAAATTTGTGGGTAGGATTTCACACTCTAGTCATTTGCGTTTGCTGATGAGTGAAATAGCTTCCACCTTTTATGCTGCTGTGCAGTCTGAAGAAACCCAGGTTGGCATCTGCTCTTGTCACATGCAGGAGTGTGCAGAGCTCCAAGGAGACTCATGGTCTCTTAGGATGAAGGAAAGAGAAGAAATGCAGCATCCTGAGTCCCAGGCAAGAGTTTTGTGGCCAAGCATCATGGTCACTTGTCACATTAGGCAAAATGTTAGTTATTCTTCATATCCATCTTTTTTTGCAGCTCCCCTAAGTCAGAAATTGTCTGTTGTATTCATTATTACACTTCCCTCAGCATACTACACTGTCTTACACATAGCGAACATTGAGTGTATTCGCACTTGGAATTTATACAGCGTATTTTGCAGAAGTTTGTCCCCTCCATTACTAAAAGTCTTACCATCTTCTCGCCTTTCACATCCATATAAGAGTAGAACATCTTGTTACAGATTTTGTGTATCTGTGTATGTGTGTATAATGTTATACACACTTTTAGACTTCTACATTCATGTATGCTATCATCTGGTTCTCAAACCAAAATTATAAAGTAATATTTCCATTCTGAAGATGAGGGAACAGAAACTTGGTATATAAACAGGCACATCCCCAAGCTACAATAGTTTATGAGAGGCAGGATCAACTTGGAACCTATAATCTCTTGACTTCTTTCCAAGGGATTTTTTTCTCTGCTTTATAGGTCATGAACACTTAGAAGGACCCTCAAATGTTGCTTCACCATTATGGATCTTAATATGTAAAATCAGAATGTATGTTTTTATAAGCCAACAAGCATATAGCTAGGCACAAAAGAGAGATCCAATTCTATTTTCCTCAAATTTCTGGTTTTGCATCCTCTAACTGAAATATATAATTTGAACAGATTCAAATAAATTGTTTGACCAGAGGAAGGTGGTTTTAACTTGAGAATAAGAGAACCAGAAGGAATTAAGAATTCATACTTGCTTTTCTTTCTGAGATGAAGACAGGCTACCTGGGTCTTTGTCCTGCTTTAAGCATTGGTTGTCAGTGAATGTTATCATCTTGCCATATTCAGAGTGTCTCATAGATTCAAAGACTGCCCTAGTTCAAGGGGACTTGGGGAAGGGAGCAGAATACTTGAGTTATTTACCAAGGACACTGATCAAACTTTAATAGGAGTCATAATGCAACTGAGCACCATATTATAATCAAGCAACTCTATTCTATTTGGGCATATCCATGGATCTATTGGGGGTAGAGTGACTGGAAATATACTTAACCTACTTATGCTATCATATGGATATGCTGCTTTTTCACCAAATCTTTGGAAGGTGTCTTACAGATGCATGTCTGGGAGAAGTGTCACAGACTGCACCACTGGGACAGCTAATGTCAGACACAAATCTGTGTATCAGCTTTAATGCTGCCAGTGTAGTGCTATGTGTTAACTATTCGACTCCTCAAATTCTTGGCATAAATGCCCATAAGTCAAAATCAAATCTGCTTTATGAGGCGCACAGATTGCCTGCCTGGTAGAGCACACATGCTCATTCAGTTACGTGTGAATAAGAACCCACTTGGTCTATTAATTACGCCCCAGAATCAACGTGAAGCTCTAGGTAAGTGGCTGGTAGAAGATGAATAGATGGCTCACAGAGTGAAGTATAGTAATTGTCTTGAGGTTCTTGATGTGCAATTTAGTAAACTGAAATATAGTATTGTTCAGCCTAATAACAGAAAATCCTCTATCTGTGCTGAAGGGTAGCAGTTGCATGAGTCACTCTCATGTTCAGTAAAACAAAAGGACAACTCAACCAATTAGAAAGCGTGGATGCTACATTGCCACATGCTAACGCTATTAATAGGATGACTGCACATAAGCTGTGACTGAAATTATATAGTCAAGTCTTCTAATGGCAGTTACCGATAGTGAGAAAGGGTAGTATATGTGTAATCCCAATTCATATTTACTTGATGTACAATGCAAGTTGATGGAAGAAGAAACACCTAGTTCTAATGGGCAGGCATTTTATTTAAGGCACCATCATTCCTCACTAATATCAGGGGTTTAAGAATGTATGTGTAGGTGAGGGGGAAACTTGTTGCGATCTCCTGCTGCTAATGCCTTTATCTGTGATCCCATGCTCCACTTATGGGTGGTACATTATTTACTTTGGTGTGTTCCTGTCTACTCAAAAAATGTAATGAAATTCTTTTTGTTTTATAGAAAGAAAGACCAAGAAAATAAAATATGGAAAGACCATAAAGTTGACTTCCATCTTCTACTTTTTTTCAGGATTGGAATCAAACTATGCAATACCAATAGCATCCTGTTTCTGGCAAAAAGGAGGAAGAATATAATGTTATGTCCCTTTAGGATCTTCTTCCAATCTTATACAGATGTTATTTTTCTTTGCAAAGGAAGCTGTTTACCTTTCATTCATTTCTCTGTGGTGAAGCCAGGACCAGTACTAGGCTAAACTGAGAAGTGATGAAATTAGACTTTCCCCTCTGTTCTTCCTTGGAATGACCATCAGGGATTTCACTATGGGAATGAGATATGTGGCAGGCACTGACCACAGGTACACTTCCAATATATGTGTGATCGAGGTTGAGTCATTTTCTTTCTAAACCTCAATATCCTTAACTATGAAATGAAAGAATAACATGCCCATTCATAACAGAGGGTTATTGTATCAATGATTTCTGACTTGGACCATACGAAATCTCATGGAAAGCAGAGGGGATGATGCAGATATAGTTTGAAGAAAGCACATCAGATAGTTCTAACATGTACTTCCTCATCCTCGAATGACCTATGTCAGTGGTTCTCGCAGTGTGGGACCAATGGGAGCTTGTAAAAATGCAAATCTTGAATCAGAAACTCTGAGGGTGAGACCTAGCAATCCATATTTTAACCTCTGTATTATTTTTATTTTCATGAACAATCACAACAAAGTTTGAGGACCACTGGCCCAGATGTGGATCCAAGAATGTGGTCACCTAACCACCTGTGTCAGTATCACCAGGAGCTTGTTACAAATGAAAATTCCTGTACCCAAACCAGCCCTACTAAATCATAATATCTGAGACTAAAGCCCAAGGATCAATGTTTTGACAAACTTCAGGAAATTCTAAAACCTGTTCATACTTACAACACAAAGTTAGTCTAGAACCACTGTTCTAGAAAAGTGGTTGTTAAAACTAAGTGCACATTAAAATCGCGTGTGGGAGTTTTTAAACAATATCAGTGTCTGGGCCCCAACCATAGACCAATTACCTAGATTCTAATATCCAGTCCGGATTAAAAATTACTAGAGTAGATTATCTTTAAGACCCCTTTCAGATTCAGGTTCCATGATTTTCACAATTTTGTATTGTTTGCTAAATGCATATTTTAATTCTCAATTCATAGCATGCTTTTCAATCCACACCATAGTTGATTTGTATCACACAGTACCCTACCTACTGGTAAATTCATGATAGGCTGGTAAATTGTCATTGGCTAAATCCATCGCCATTTACAATACTATGAGCTACAAACAACAGGTGCAGCCTGAGAAGCTCATCTCTAAACCGTACCTTCAGAAAACGTGGTCCAAATAGATCTTAACTCCTATACCCAAGGCATCCTCGTCTTTCCATTGTGGTGTTGAATGACACTAGACTTCAGGTTTCACTTACTTCAATACTCTTTGCAACAGAATTAGGATGGTAACGATGATAATTATTATTATCTTTGAGACAGGGTCTCACTCTGTTTCCCAGGCTGGAGTGCAGAAGTGCAATCACAGCCCATTACAGCCTTGAACTCCTGGGCTCAAGGGATTCTCCCACCTTAGCCTCCAAGTAGCTAGGACTACATGTGTGCACTACCATACCTAGCTAATTTTTTAAAGTGTTTTTTTTGTTTGTTTGTTTGTTTTGTTTTGTTTTTAAGAGGTAGAGGTATTGCTACAGCGCCCGGCCTGGTTTCCAACTCTTGGTCTCAGGTGATCCTCCTGCCTTGGCCTCCCAAATCACTGAGATTACAGGTGTGGGCCACCACACCCAACCTCAGATTTGTAATTATTTTCCTTGCTACTTCTAATTTTTTTAAAAGCATAAGTCAGTGGGCAGCAGGTTTTGGAGGTCAGACCCTTAGGAATTATTTCTTGCAGCTTCCAGATCCCCATCCTAATGATGAACACCTGTGCTAGGCTTAGTCAAATTATACTGTTTCCCAGTAAACTCTGGTCTTCAAGGAAGCTGAAACCAGAGGAGCTCTAATAATACATGTTTTTAACCTGTGGTTTGGGCTTGAGCCAATGGCATCAAACAGAGAGCAGCTAAAATGAGCTGTTGCAAGTGAAAGTTTATCTAAAAAATAGTTAATGAAAAACTTTGAGAGCTGCAGGGATGCATGACAGATTGGCAACTCACTTTGAGAAAGAGACTATTCCCAGTTCCAAGTCCCAGACACACAGCCTGCGGGTAAGTCATCAGAAATAAAATAAGCGGGTAAACGGGACAGGGGAAAAACAGTACCCTCTAACATTTATCAACCATGCAAGCCAAAGCTACTGATGAAGTTAAATAGACAACAATCCTTAGTGTTTATTTTCTGTTCAGTGAGGTTGCCAACCTGAGCTTCCAGAGGACTAACACCACAATTAAAGGCAGGCAGTTTCAGGGGAACACAATGAAAGATGGACCAAAACAGAGTATTTTGATGTTTAGATTGAAATCTACTATTGGCTAGGAAAGCGGTGTTTATTGTGTCTAAAGACAATAATACTATTATACATCCAGCAATTATGGTCACGGGGCCACTCAAACAAGTAGTGGTTTGTTTTGGTTGGAGAGAAAGAACCAAGGCTTTGCTTGCAGTATTGCTGGGTATGTGGGTTTGGTTTTGTTGCAGTTTAGTGGGCTGTGGGCTTTTGCAGCCACCCTCAAAAGGATGAAGAAAATTTTAAACAGCTTCATGGTTGGTAACAGGAGTCCCCTGATCCCTTCAGGAAAACCAAAGATACTCAGGCCAGTAATTTAATCAGGAGAAGATTTATCAGTTGGAGTGACAGTTTTAAAGGCACAAACTCTCTGTGTGATTCTAAGCAGATATCGAGTCCAGTTGAGAAGCCAGTCAAACGGATAATTCTTGGAGTTCTCTACCAGCTATTCTGAGTCTGAGATCTGCCTTCTTATTCTGGCAAATCAGAACCAATGTTATTCTCCCAGATTTGGGGCATCATATCTATTATGGGTCATGGCGCCCCCTGAAGTCAAAGGCCTTTCATTTCCATCATCTACCTGGATTCCTGCCTGTTTATCTACTCTTCTATTGAATGCAACCTATTCTACAATCCAGAGCTCTCTGGCCTCTCAGAGAAAAGGTAAGATTTCTAAACCTTTCCACAGATTCACATAAGTCAGGATATACCTTTAGATAGAAAATGTTAAGCTTCAGGCCACCCTCCCTGCTGAGTTCTAATGAGAATTCAGAGGCCAGCTTTCAGTGCATTCTGAGGAAGGAAAACGGTTCTCCTCTGTTGGCCCAGGAAACACACTATCAAATGCAAGCACCAATACTGAGGCTGATGAGTTATATGATTCCAGGCAAACTGTAAATCCTTCCTAGGGTTCTCTATGCATTTCCCTTTAAAGTAGAAAAGAAAATAAATGCCTCCCTATTCTGCATGCTATTTGGGCAATAAAGTGCTACTGATTTGTGAACTTCAATAATAATAAAATAACACTGGAAAAACCTGCACCACCACCCCTACCCCCCCCACCCCCCCACCCCTTGAAAAGACTTCAAACGTTTGATGAAGCTAGGGCTTCAAGCAAATTCGAAAAAAAAAAAAAATCAATAATTTGAGCTCCTCCTAATTTTCCTGACAATCAATTTTCTCATAGGATGCTTATTTTCAGTTTTACAATCTGCCAACTAGCTCCTCCAAACCTCATTTGTGACCCCTTTACAGGGGAAGCCTAGAGGTTAATTAACAGATGATTGTTAGTTCCTGAAAGTCGCCCTGTGATTTAGTCCCGAGGTGGCCTAAGCATCTCCATCCCTTGTTAGGAAAAGACTCTCTGGTTCAATACTAATTTCTATAGCTTTTACAATTCTCATTGGGATTAACATTTAATCAACAGAGCAGTTTCCTTTTTATTTCATTATAGAAAAGTTTCAATAAAATAGAATGGTGCATTATTCTGTAATGAATGACAAACACTGGTAAATTTTCATTTAAAAATCAGTAAGTTGAAACAAGCAGTTGTTTCATAACGGTTGGGTCATCTCAATTTAATGAACAGTAACTAAAAACACATTAAATAAATGCCTGAAATGGAAAGGGAGGCATAGTTATTGTCCCACGAGGCTGTGTGATCCTCTAAGAGAGGGCCTATGTTGTGTTAATTTTTCCTTAGCTGATGCTTGGAGCAATACCAAGCAGTTACTCAATAAATACTTGCCAGATTGAATATATTAATAAATGCTTCTGTGTATAGAAAGGTATTTTCTTTTAGGAAAAAAGTTACTTCATTTTGCTAATTGCAGCCACCTCTCAATGAATGGGGATGATCACAAGGGATTATATATATATATCTTCTTTTCCTTTTATAAATGTTTATAGTAGCGATCCTCAAACTTGTGCTTGCATGAAAATTATGTGGGGAGTGTGTAAAACAGTGATTTCTGGGCCCCACTATTAGAATTTCTGATTTAATATTCTGGGGAAGAGCTCCCAAAATGCATACTTCTAAATTCCCAGGAGATCTGATGCTGCATTCTGGAGATCACACTGAGAATCACTGGCTTATAGCATCTATCTGTATGGCATTGGTGGCAATTTCCATTTATTCATGTACAGGTGAAATCTTCCCTAGAGCAGGTCCTCACACACAGAAAATACCTAGGGAACATTCGCTGACTGCACAGATAATTCCACCCTCATTGTGGGGAACGTAACACTATATTGCTGCTGTGTGCATAAATGGCTTTCATTCCTAGGCTCCCATTAGCTATGAAAGAGAGCATAGCAGTTTTCTGTTGGCCTTTTCTTTCATGTGATAAATTGCCATTAGAGTGCTACCCTAGGCATATATTAATTTCCTTGGGGATCTAACTTTGACTCTTCCGATGCCGCTCACAGTTGCTATAGCTGTGTGTATGACTCTTTGGCCCTTTCACACAGGGTGGCTGTCACTGGAGTAATAATAGAAGCCATTGCCATTAGAGCCTGCCAGTGGTATGGACTCTGTGACTGTACCTTTGAATTTGTATATTTTATTCCAATTAAACCTCTACATCTGTATTTGCTTTCATCTAGCAAACTGTTAATTGTAGGTGGCTTCGGATATATCTGATTGTGCTGGCCATGGAATATCTGTCCATCTCACGTAAAAAATGTGGGAAAATATTTTATTAGGAAAAGAATGGCCAAAATGGTTATGCGTTTTGATTGGGGTGTTTGATTTGTTTGCTTTTAAGTATTAAGGCTGGGCTTCAAGGCCTCACCAGCAGCTCCTCACCTTGTTTCCTTTCTGAGCAGTAGCATCAATTGCTATGTAACTCTTTAACTTAGGGATACATATGTTGGGGTAGTGCCTTAACTTTGAGGGTACGTACATTGGTAGTAGAATAGGATAGAGCTAATTTACTGATCCAGTTTTGTGGGTGGAGGATTTTACAACTTTGGTCCTATTACCAACATTTTCTTAGCAAATATTTTAAAGTTATGTTAAATAAGCCTGATAGTTGGATATTTTCATTCAGATATCTTAGAGCTACATACACCTACACATCTTTGCTCTCCTTTCAAATTTTGATGCATTCTTCAAGGAAAAGTTCATTCCACTCTCATTTGTGGGTTTTTTTCCCCAACATGAACTCTTAGGTGTTACTAACGCAATCATTCTTCTGGCACTCCTTTACATACCATTTTGTGACATCCTTTGTATTGTAACTTTTTATGTGTATAAATTTTGTCTCCTCAATTAGATTGCACACTTTTTCAATCATCTCTCATTTTACTACATAATTATTCAACATCTACTATGCACCAAAATTGATGCTGGAAGAATACAGAGAGACAGCATATATGATCTTATATCTAGACTTTTGAAGAATTTATGATTTAGCGTTAAGGCCAAGTTGTGCACATACATACATGTACCATAAAACAGTAACTGTCACTCACAACAGCACATGAGTTAGGAATGATATAAATAGGATCCATATAAGTCTGTTTTTCCACTGGGCTTACATATTGTTTTATAGACAAAGGTATGGAATGCCTATTTATTGTCTTCATATCTACATAAGGGATGTCCTTTTCTAATTAGGTTCGGTGTATATTGCTCAGGAGATGGGTGCACCAAAATCTCACAAATCACCACTGAAGAACTCATGTAACCAAATACTACCCATTCCTCAAAAACCTATGGAAATAAATAAATAAATAAATAAATAAATAAATTTGCTGTTATGTCAAACCTCAGAAGTGCCATGAAAACATTAATTATTTTGACCTAATTTGAATATATTTAAATTTAAACACACTTGATACTGAAATCCATATTGATAAAAAATATAAACTGAGATAAGGCTCTTGATCAAAACAAGCATCTTTCATAGTAAGATGTCTTTAAATTAGCAATATCCTTTAATATTAGATTAAATACCCTTCACATATTTAAAATATGTAGTATTTTTTGTTTCTTTTTTGGACAAAAGGAGGAGTTTGAGGAAAAAGTTGATTATCAAGGACAGCTTTACTGATGACAATCTAACTTCCTCCTAACTCTAGTTGCCCCCAGATAAATTTCCAGCATTGTTTGGTCAAGGCACTGTTTAATTTTTGTCTTCATTCTACTGCCACCATTATAAGCAGACAAGAAAATCTCCTTTTGTTATTTAAACAGGTTTCTATAATTTTCTATTGAAAGAGTGTAAGGGGAGACTGATCGTCATGAAACCCAACATAATCTTCCCATTCCTTCTCCTTATTCTTCACCCTACCACATCCTTTATGATCCAGTGTTGCTGGTCTACTCATAACTCCCAAAACACTATATTTTTTTAGAGTCACGTCTGGCTCTTATTGCCTGTTGAATCTCTGCTTCATCCTCAAGGTGCACCTCGCATCAAACTCTCTGAAAAGCCTTCCTAAATTTTATGAAACAGAGGTATTTGTTCTCACTTTTCTGTGATGTTATGATCACTTTATATTATTTCATTAATTATAGTGTTTTTCCATTATAAAGCAATTATTGACATGGCTGTTATGTTCATTGGACTGTAAGTTCCCTGAGAGTGAGAACCTGTCTTATTCTTGTTAATATCATTAGCATTTTCTAAGACAGTATCTCTTGCTCATAATTGGTTGGCCAACTATATATTTGTACAATTAATATATGAATGAATTTATCAAATAAATGAGTAGGTGAATGCCTAGCTCAAATGTAATGAGTTAGCGACTACCTCTTGGAAAACTGAGTGGATAATAAATAAATACAATTATACCAGATGCCATTCTATGGAATTTCTTTTGATCATATTTTCATGTTGTGATAGAAATATGTTTGAAAGTAGCATATCCCATCAATAGCAATTCAGAGCTCAACCCAAATGTGTGAAATTAATTTCAAAATATGTCTGCTTTTGTTCTGGCATTTTTCAAGCTGAATATGTAGCCAGTATGTTCATCCTATCCAATTCATAAGGGTAGCAAGGAATAAAAAATATGAAACTGCATTGTGCTGTAAATGGTGATCTTGAAATCAATAGTATTGGCAGACACCAAAAAATGTGGATGATTTCTCTAGTACATTAAAATTTCCTAGACAAAACTTCCTATAAATAAAGTTATATTTTAAAGAACCAGTTGAAAAGTCACAGTGTGTCATAAACTTATTAGTTAGAATGGTGATTATTAAAAAGTCAGGAAACAACAGATGCTGGGGAGGACGTGGAGAAATAGGAATGCTTTTACACTGTTGGTGGGAGTGTAAATTAGTTCAACTATTTTGGAAGACAGTGTGGCAATTCCTCAAGGATCTAGAACCAGAAATATCATTTGACCCAGCAATCCCATTACTGGGTTTATACCCAAAGGGTTATAAGTCATTCTACTATAAAGACATATGAACACATATGTTTATTGCAGCATTGTTCACAATAGCAAAGACTGGGAACCAACCCAAATGCCCACCAATGATAGACCAGATAAAGAAAATGTGGCACATATCCACCATGGAATATTATGCAGCCATAAAAAAAGGATGAGTTCATGTCCTTTGCAGGGACATGGATGAAGCTGGAAAGCATCATTCTCAGTCAACTAACACAGGAACAGAAAACCAAACACCACATGTTCTCAATCATAAG